CATTTGATCTGTAGTTGTATTCATTAAATTACAACATATTTTCACATTTGATCTGTGATGGTATTCAAGATATTGCATGTTTCCACATTTGAACTCTGATAGTATTGATAAGGAGGTTATTTTTCCACATTTGATCTATTGTAGTATTCATGGGGTTATTTTTCCACATTTGATCTATGGTAGTATTCATGGGGTTATTTTTCCATATTTGATCTATGGTAGTATTCATGGGGTTATTTTTTCCACATTTGATATATGGTAGTATTCATGGGGTTATTTTTTCCACATTTGATCTATGGCAGTATTCATGGAATTATTTTTCCCACATTTGATCTGTGATAGTATTTACGAGGTTACAAAATGTTTCCACATTTGATCTATGGTAGTATTCATGGGGTTATTTTTTCCACATTTGATCTATGGTAATATTCATGGGGTTATTTTTTCCACATTTGATCTGTGATAGTATTCATGGGGTTACAAAATGTTTCCACATTTGATCTATGGTAGTATTCATGGGATTATTTTTTCCACATTTGATCTGTGATAGTATTCATGGGGTTACACAATGTTTCCACAGTTGATTTATGGTAGTATTCATGGGGTTATTTTTCTACATTTGATCCATGGTAGTATTCATGGGGTTTTTTTCCCACAGTTGGTTTGTGATAGTATTCATGGGGTTACAAAATTTTTCCACATTTGATCCATGGTAGTATTTATGGGGTTATTTTTTCCACATTTGATCTATGGTAGTATTCATGGGGTTATTTTTTCCATATCTGATCTATGGTAGTATTCATGGGGTTATTTTTTCCACATTTGATCTGTGATAGTATTCACGAGGTTACAAAATGTTTCCACATTTGATCTATGGTAGTATTCATGGGGCTATTTTTTCCACATTTGATCTATGGTAGTATTCATGGGGTTATTATTTCCACATCTGATCTATGGTAGTATTCATGGGGTTATTTTTTCCACATTTGATCTATGGTAATATTCATGGGGTTATTTTTTCCACATTTGATCTATGGTAGTATTCATGGGGTTATTTTTTCCACATTTGATCTATGGTAGTATTTATGGGGTTATTATTTCCACATTTGATCTATGGTAGTATTCATGTGGTTACAAAATATTTCCACATTTGATCTATGGTAGTATTATTCATGGGGTTACAAAATGTTTCCACATTTGATCTATGATAGTATTCAAGGGGTTATTTTTTCCACATTTGATCTATGGTAGTATTCATGGGGTTACAAAATGTTTCCACATTTGATCTATGGTAGTATTCATGGGGTTATTTTTTCCACATTTGATCTATGGTAGTATTCATGGGGTTACAAAATGTTTCCACATTTGATCTATCATAGTATTCATGGGGTTACAAAATGTTTCCACATTTGATCTATGATAGTATTCATGGGGTTATTTTTTTCCACATTTGATCTATGGTAGTATTCATGGGGTTACAAAATGTTTCCACATTTGATCTATGGTAGTATTCATGGGGTTATTTTTTCCACATTTGATCTATGGTAGTATTCATGGGGTTACAAAATGTTTCCACATTTGATCTATGGTAGTATTCATGGGGTTATTTTTTCCACATTTGATCTATGGTAGTATTCATGGGGTTACAAAATGTTTCCACATTTGATCTATGGTAGTATTCATGGGGTTATTTTTTCCACATTTGATCTATGGTAGTATTCATGGGGTTACAAAATGTTTCCACATTTGATCTATGGTAGTATTCATGGGGTTACAAAATGTTTCCACATTTGATCTATGGTAGTATTCATGGGGTTACAAAATTTTTCCACATTTGATCTATGATAGTATTCATGGGGTTATTTTTTCCACATTTGATCTATGGTAGTATTCATGGGGTTACAAAATGTTTCCACATTTGATCTATGGTAGTATTCATGGGGTTACAAAATGTTTCCACATTTGATCTATGATAGTATTCATGGGGTTATTTTTTCCACATTTGATCTATGGTAGTATTCATGGGGTTACAAAATGTTTCCACATTTGATCTATGGTAGTATTATTCATGGGGTTACAAAATGTTTCCACATTTGATCTATGGTAGTATTATTCATGGGGTTACAAAATGTTTCCACATTTGATCTATGGTAGTATTCATGGGGTTACAAAATGTTTCCACATTTGATCTATGGTAGTATTCATGGGGTTACAAAATGTTTCCACATTTGATCTATGGTAGTATTCGTGGGGTTACAAAATGTTTCCACATTTGATCTATGGTAGTATTCATGGGGTTACAAAATGTTTCCACATTTGATCTATGGTAGTATTATTCATGGGGTTACAAAATGTTTCCACATTTGATCTATGGTAGTATTCATGGGGTTACAAAATGTTTCCACATTTGATCTATGGTAGTATTATTCATGGGGTTACAAAATGTTTCCACATTTGATCTATGGTAGTATTCATAGGGTTATTTTTTCCACATTTGATCTATGGTAGTATTCATGGGGTTACAAAATGTTTCCACATTTGATCTATGGTAGTATTCATGGGGTTACAAAATGTTTCCACATTTGATCTATGGTAGTATTCATGGGGTTACAAAATGTTTCCACATTTGATCTATGGTAGTAGTATTCATGGGGTTACAAAATGTTTCCACATTTGATCTATGGTAGTATTCATGGGGTTACAAAATGTTTCCACATTTGATCTATGGTAGTATTCATGGGGTTACAAAATGTTTCCACATTTGATCTATGGTAGTATTCATGAGAATTGGAATTTTGTTCCTCTCTAAAGTGAACATATGCCTTGCCCCATGTTGAATATTCCATATGTAAATAAATAAAGTTTTTGCACAGGAACCACTTTTCTTTTTTCAATGAGTGACTTAACCTTTGACCTTTTGACTTTAATATTTTAAATTTCTTTTTTTTTAACTCAGATGAACAAATGCCACAAAGTTTAATCTAGATTTGTAATATAGAACTAATGTTACTGTTTGGAAACCTTTGCTCTTCTTAATCTGTGACCTTGATCTTTGGACTGTCATATTGATAAGCATTTTTCCTACTCCATATGTGGACCATCATACAAAGTTTGGTATGTATACATGATGGAGAACTAAAATTATTGACTAGAAACAATTTTTCTTTTCTCAGCCAGTGGCTTTGACCTTTGCCCCTGAAATAAAAAGGGTTATTTTTAGGATATATGCAAGACATTCACAAACTTTGATAACTCAAATTTTTGTGCATAAAAGAAATTGTTAACTGACTAGGCAGATGGATGACATTGAAACAGATTAATTATGGTGAGCATATCAAAATCAGATTCAACATAAAACTGAAATCAGTCAATGATTAATTCTAATAATCAGCACTACGAAAAGATCCAAACTCAAGTTCATGCTATAAGCATACAATGTAATGTTACTGCCAGTGGTACAATGTAATGTTACTGCCGGTGGTACAATGTAATGTTACTGCCAGTGGTACAATGTAATGTTACTGCCAGTGGTACAATGTGATGTTATCACATGAGGCACAAAGTTATTGCAAATGGTACAATGTAATCTTATTGCAAGCAGAACAAGGTAATCTTATTGTAAGTGATACAATGTAATGCTATTCCAAGTGGTATCATGTAAACTTATTGCAAAATGAACAATGTAATGTTATTGTAAGGGGTACAATGTAATGTTATTGCAAGTGGTACAATGTTATTTTATTACACTTTGTACTGTGTAATTTTATTGAAAGTGGATCAATGTAATGTTATTGCAAGTGGGTTAATGTAATGCTATTGCAAGTGGTACAATGTAATGTTATTAAAATTGATACAAAGTAATGTTATTAAAATTGCTAAAATGTAATGTTATTGCGAGTAGTACAATGTAATGTCATTAAAATTGGTACAATATAATATTATTGCAAGTGGTACAATGTAATGTTATTAAAAATGGTACAATGTAATGTTTTTAAAATTGGTAAAATGTAATGTTATTGCAAGTAGTACAATGTAATGTCATTAAAATTGGTACAATATAATATTATTGCAAGTGGTACAATGTAATGTTATTAAAAATGGTACAATGTAATGTTTTAAAAATTGGTAAAATGTAATGTTATTGCAAGTGGTAGAAATTTAAGGTCCTCCTCACTGCAATACATCAATTTTAATATTCTATAGTTGTAAATAAATCTTTAATATTCTATATCACAGAACATCAGTATATTCTGTAATTCAGTGTGACTAATTCAGTGTGACCAATTCAGTGTGACTAATTCAGTGTGACCAATTCAGTGTGACTAATTCAGTGTGACTAATTCAGTGTGACTTGTCTGATTCCATTGGTCAGTTTCATACACAGTCATTGACATATCACAGAACATCAGTATATTCTGTAATTCAGTGTGACTAATTCAGTGTGACCAATTCAGTGTGACTAATTCAGTGTGACCAATTCAGTGTGACTAATTCAGTGTGACCATATATGAAGAGAGAATACATATAAACACCATAGCCAACAGAAACCAACTCTTTACCATTTTCCATAAATATGATAGGATCACAGGTTTTACATTGTCAATGTGTTTATCATTAGCTTTAATTTCAAGAAATTTACTAAAATTATAATTTGTTAGTTAGAGTGTGGGTATTATGTCAATATCAAATACTGAAATTATATTCAGGTTTTTTTATATCATTAATCAGGGGGTAGTGATGCCAGCTTTGTCCAATAGTTTTTTATTTATTTTACATAAGCACAGCATATTCATCACAAGACTGCTCTAATATTCAAAGCAGTTTAACTTTCCTATTTCCTATTTCCATATGAATTCAGCCTAATCTAACATCTACTAACATAAATTCAGCTTAGTGTGGTGTATATCCATATGAAAATCAGCTTAATGTGACTTATTCCCACATCAATCCAGCCTAATGTGACCCATTCCCACATGAATATCAACTTCATGTGACCAACTGCTCTGGTGGACTAAGTGGTTAGAGCATCTGCTTCAGATGTAGGAGGTCACAGGTTCAAACCATGGCCAAGTCATACCAAAGACTTATAAAAATGTTATTAGCATTTGTCTTGCTTGCCACTCACTATAGCAGGGCGTAGTGGCAGAGTAAGGATAATGTGACTGGTTGGCAATATGCTGCTACATGTCTACAGTATAATGTCCTCATGCTAGACTTCACTATACACTGTCATTCTGCAGCTATATGACTAAAACTTTTACATTAAAAATAAATAAAGAACACACACACACACACACACCTATCACAAATAATATTTAAACACACCTAAGAACTTATGCTGCTTAAAAATCTCCTGCATGAAGTTCTACAAGATCTTTCAGTACAGCAAATAAATATTGCAAACATAACGGTATGTATCTGCTACACATGACCATTTTCTTCTTGCTGGCAACAGTCTGCATTCTTTTACAAAATACTGGAGTACTTTAAAAATTCTGCACAGGAAACATTTTGTTGCATAAGCCTTACCCCAAAACACACAGTTCAATGTTTGGCAGAACCAGAATTTCTGTACTTGTCTGGTTCCAGAACCTGTTTACATTCTTTGGCAATCTTGAAACATGAAACTAGGTTAGGTGTTTCAAGCCTTCATGTGAAAACAACATTGCATTGTTATTTCCTCTTTAACACATAAATATGGAAATAATATAAGCTGTTTTGGTTACAAATGAAATCCATATAAACTGTTTTTCAAATACTCTGCATTCACATAATAAAAAATAATTCTGATGGATTAGCAACATGGGATGTAATAAAAGGTTAAAAAAAAACCAACAGCATATTCAACAATAACAGAGACCACCTCTAATGTTTTGTAACCAACAGACAAAGCAAATATTATCATGCAAAAATTACTCAAAACAAAGTGATCTGGACCACTTTTCTAACTAAATTTTTGTTCCATCTTGTATCTTGACATTAGAACTTTTAATCATTTAAAACTTCTAATTCTGAATTTTAAATTGTCACTATATACCAAATATTGTGCTGACATACTGTGAAGTCACCAACCTCGATGCCCTGATAGGGCATAAAAGATGTAAAGTGATAAAATAAGAACATTAATTTCAATATCAAATTGGAAGCAATACAATGAGTTGATGAAAATCGGGGATTAACTACAGATGAGGTCACTCATGAAATGCCTGTAGCTGAATTGTACAGCCAATATGTACAATAAACTTTCACCATGTACAATGTATGGTCCCTACTAATGTGGATAGTTTACCACTGAATAAACATTTTTTATTCTTACTTACAACTGCTTTTGGTCAGAAATGGCATTCTCTGTAGGCAACGATATATACAGGTCTAATATGGATGAATCTATGTGATCATAAACACAAATACTTAACATAACAGTCTAGTATAAAATATAGGTGACAATGACCTTTTTGCTTACGAAGGTGCATACAATTATCAAATTTTATGATCTGAACATAAATAGTACCCAATAAGTGATCTCTTAATACAAACTTTCATCAGAGTTGATGGAGCATTGTTTGGTTTGGTTTGCATTCTTTAATACCATTTGGCAGACTGATCTAGGGTGCTCACATTCATGCATCTCACATCTGTCCATGCAAGTTGGAATCTCTACTCATCCAATGTGGGCATTTGAAAAAGCTTGCCAGCCACTTCCTGTGGGCCAGGGCAAGCTTTTCTTCATGTCCATTTTTGTTGTGTCAAGACTCGAACTCATGCAAATAGTTAAAATGTGTCAGTAGTTTGTAAAGATGAACACATTAGACCACTTAGCCACCTGAGTGAGAAACAAAGATAAAGCCCTCTTTGTGCCAAAAGGATGCAGAATATGTCAAGATGCTTCCACTTGTGACGTTTAATCATTCTAGACATAATAATATGCACACAAGATGCCAAAATTGGGGCGGTAATGACCTATATGCAAGACCTAAATCAGTAAAACAAAATGCAGGTCACAATAACCTTTTGTTACATGCATGGTACTAACACAGATACATGGAATCATCTAACTTAAAGAATGCTTGAGAAAAAAAATAACAAAATCTCGACCATGTCAGAAAAAAATGAAATATTTTCACAGTGACCTTCTTTTGTGATGAAGGAATAGTACTTGTCAAGACCTATTTGGTCAAAAGCTAAATGCAAAATGTTGACTGTTCCCAATTAATATATTTTTCCTCTTCACTGAAAACTATTTAATGATTTTTCTTGCACATATCAGCAATTATGATATTTTTCCTCATTATTTTCTAATTAAATTGATGCTTAGCAATACCCTAAATTTAAAACATCTCATTTGCCTTATCATTCATTAATTGCACAGCCTTATTTTCTCTCTAATGCACAAAATGACCCAATGAAAGATTAATGAACTTCTCTGTTCTATTCAGTACATCCAAGTATTGTGTGGATCAGACACTGGTTATTTCATGGCTTGTGTAGATATGTACAGCAGCAGTTCATCCTATTTTTGAATTTAATTTTTTTAAATTCTTTATTTCTTTTGGGATTACCATATGTCTCCATATTTGTGACTAAGAGTATATTCTTTAGTTACGAAATACTTGTATGCACTTTTTCTAAATATTGCTCCTTTGTCCAACTTTCATGCCCTTCTAAAATTGTATTTCTATATATTTGGAGTGCTCAATTTTAGGTAAGCCAGCATGTTTTCTCATGAAGCCCTAAGAGATGCTCTCAGAATACATGCACTAATTGCACAGTTTGTACATAGGAGTGCTTAGTTACAACCTTATTAAATATTGCATAGCACAGTGAGATCTGAAGGAATTTTGATGATATAGTGTTTTTATAGTACAACAACACAAATACCATATATACCAGAAGTTGAGTCAAACTGCAAACCACAAAGATTCTGATCTGCTGTAACATAATGTGCCTGCAGATCAAGGTCTATCTTCTTTGTTCTACTGATTAGTCCCAACAAGCTGCACAGACCCAGATGTTCCAGCACATTAGGGACAGCATATCTAGGTCTGTGTAGTTTGACTCAAACAAAGTATGTTATTTATTTCCTAGGTAATAGGAGTAATGTGCTTTGCTGAAGGATACCTTACTGCAATTATCAAATTAAGCCTGCTGATTCATTAATAGTGAAATATAGGTGAATAAATAGAAAGGTGTTGCTACTGTGATTTATCAGTAAGAAGGATGGCTGTGTAAATTGTTATATGAAATTATTATTCAATCACTGACAACTTATGTTTTTTAATTATTAGATAAAGTTCATTATTTTATAAGTTTGTTAAACTTGACTTTCATTTAAAGTTTCTTAAAAAAAGCTGAAGATTCATGACTAAATATTGGCAGAGGGTTTGGTTTTGTGGGCTTAATGCCAATGTATAACACATGTTAGGCAATACATGGCAGACAATCTTTTTAGTGGAGGAAGAACCAGTGAAATCCTGAGAAGAACGACTGACCCACAGGAAGCTACTGGCAAGCCTTCTCACATTTGGCAAAAGGAAACTGAGGTCCTGATGTTTCTTTCTTATATTCTATATCCTAGTAAATTACACCACTGTCTTCTTTCTTAGATCTTAGCAAGTTATATCAGTCTTTAATCTTCAATTTTGTAGCCTATCAAATTATACCAGTATTCTACTATATTCTAACAAGTTATACCAGTCTCCTATCATCTACATTCTGTAAAGTTGCAACTTAGTCTTCCATTTTAGATTATATATTCTACCAAGTATTATGAATCACTGGTCATAAACTAAGAAACTAAGTAACAGAAAGAAGCAAAATCAACAAGTTTTGTAAAGCTTAACAAATACTTTAATTATCAAAATTATACAATTAAAATTTAAGAACTTATAGTATTATGAAGTTAATCCAAAATAATCCTTAAAAAGTTTCATAAAAGTCCAAACTAAGTTTCAAATGAATTTCAGATCTCCCAATGTATTGTCCAGAGCTCCTCTAAATATTTCACAATAGTTCCAGATTAATAATCAAGTCCAATGAGCACTTTGTAATTCCAATGAATAATCCTAACAAAAGCTTCCTCTCAAATTATCAAAACACAACATATGAATTAGAAGCCAAATTAGGAATGAATCCCAAATATGAAAGATTCTGATTGCCCACTTCTCTCCTTATATACACCTTCAACAGTTTATTATAACTATATCACAATATACACCACGTGGCAGATCTTACTACTTAATCTGATATTTCAACACAGCTATTCATGTAACCTAACCCATCCAATGGGAAACATTTTAATTCTTCTTACAACCAACATGACCTAAATCCTCCAATGGGAAACAGCTCAAGGCTTGTCAACATATTTGCTAATAATTTTACTGTTAGTAACTGCAAACATGTTGTATCTATTTATAGATCTTATGCAATTTTACATTCTTAATAACATAAAATAGAACCTATGTAAATATGAAATTTCAACTAAAGATAATAACTACAATTTACATGAATAAAATTTACAGAAATTATAGACAAACAAGTTATACATGTGCCAGTCTTCTATTTTAGATTCTGTATTGTAACAAAATATACCAGTCTTCTTTCATAGATTCTACATTCAAACATGTTCAAGAAGTTTTCCATCAAAGATTCAATAATCTAATAAGTTCTGCTAGCCTTCCATCATAGATTTTATACCCTATCAAATTATACCAGTCTTCCATCACAGATCATATATACTAACAAGTTTTACCAGTCTTCCATCACAAATTCTATATACAAATAAGCTGTACCAGTCTTCCATCACAGATTCTATATACAAATAAGCTGTACCAGTCTTCCATCACATATTCTATAAACAAACAAGCTGTACCAGTCTTCCATCAGATTCTATATAGGTGGCTCTCACCAATTATTATATACTTTTGAGAGAGTGATGTATGTAAGGTGAAGTTGCTTGCATTTAAAACATGCATAGTGGAGAGAATGTTGGCATACCTCTAAGCTAATTTCATATAATGTGACTGACATTTCTTTAGATATTGTACTTTTGGAAATGGGAAATTATCTTATCACACT